CGCCCGTCTCACAATTGTTATGGCCTTTGCCTCCGTCCTCACATCGGCGAGCGCACCGGTCATGGCGACCACAAGTGCTACAACTGTCTGCGCGCCCACGCGGAGTAGGCTTGATCTGTCCGAGCTCCGGCCCCTCAAGCCTAAATGGTTTATATCTTATCTGTCCGCTGGGCCTAAGTGAGCCCTTATCCTCTGCAACCCCTGCCTGCATCCCCAACCCGTGCCTTGGACTAAACCCGTGCTCCGGTAGCCCAGGTGCCGCTTTAGCTTTGGCCACTCCTGTCCGGCCGCCTGCCTTGTCACAGCCTGCCGCCATCTACCTGCCGGCCATGCCCGTCTGGGGGTTTTCGTGCGCCGTTCCTCAGGTCTCCGCCTCCTGCCGCGCCGGCTCTAGCCTGCCGCTGGAAAGATGGGGCCTATGCTCCTACCTACAGACCTGCTAAGGCCTTACAGTGCGGTCCTTATTCGCCCGTGTCGGACCTGCCTCGGCATCCTTACAGGCCCGCGCCACCCGCAGGAATTCTGTCTGTATGGTGCACACAGCTGTAAGGCCACCGTCCTAGCCTGGTCCAGACAAATGTCTCTCGACCGCACGCCCCGTCGCATACAAGGCCACCACCGCCTGTCTGGAGCCGATCACTCCGTTGAGCTTTATGGGCGCGACGATATCCGTCCGATGCTTGATCTGCAGGCCCAGGTCGTTAATCACACTCGTGCGGGCTTCCGTCCGCTGCAGCCGCTTGCCCGGGGCACATCTGTACCTCTTCCGGATTTCGCAGTGCAAATCCCGTCTGCGCCTTTGCCCGCCCTGGGCCTCCATCCTGATGTACCATTGGTTCCTTCGCCTGCCTTTCCTCCAGAGCCATCTCCACTGCCCCTGGAATCTGCATCCCCGGCCTCTCTGGCACCTTTGCCCGAGCCGGGCGACGAATCCCCTGTGAAAAGCGCATCCGAGGCCTCTGTGGACTCGTCCTCGTCGTCATCGCGCTCCGAAGTGGAGCTGGCAGGCAGCTCTGCGCCACGGCCGCCATCTCCCTTAGCATCTCCGAGCCCTGCTCCCGCTAGTGCCACGTCGACCAACCGCCCGTTGACGGAGTCTACAGTACAGTTGCTCATCTTCAATCACAGAACCAATGTGGTTCATGCTGTCCGTCCCACGGTCGAGACGGACCCCTTGTCTGCAATCCTCCGACCGTTTCTTTCGCACGGCTTGTGGGTCACGGGCCTCTGCCCTTCAGCATCAAACCGTCTGCCGCACCCTACCTCCATCTGCCTCGCCGTGACTGCGTCGCGCATGCCAGGCCGCTGGCGTGACTTAGCCTTGGGGTTCCTAGAGTTTAGGGCCTTTACCTTCTCCCCTTTTGGGTTCCCCTAGCCCCTACTTACCTTACCCGTGTTCTGCACCAGCACGCATGCAGACTTCCGTCCGCCGTGCGCTGTCGAGGTCAAAACATGTAGTATCTGCTTCTCCGCCTGCCATGTTTGTTTTCTTTCAGACACTTGGTTGCTGCTTGCTTGCTCCACCTCCCCCTCCTAGCTCTCGTGCTCCAAGCTTTGTTCCCAGCTTTTGTAGCCTAGTTGCAGGTAGCTGAGCGATGTTCTCTGCCCGCTTCGAGGACGCGCTGGAGCACGCCACCGATGAAGAGCTCTTCTCCTTCTTCTCTGAGGTCCCGTCCGCATTCCGTCGGCGCCTCATCACCGTCCTGTCCGAGCTGGAGTCGCACGAGGCGCAGCACTACATCAACACCGTCCTGCCCGAGGAGCCCGACCCGGATGACTTACTCTGGCCGTCTGATCCGGAAGGCCTGCCTATCACCCTGCCACCAGTGTCTGAGCCCGACTCCTCCTCCTCGGAGAGTTGGGGCATCTTTGGCAAGCCTGTCCGCCCTGCAGCCAATGCGTTGTTTGGCGGTTCGGAGAACCCTCCTCCGTCCCGTCCGCAGCCAGCTCCGCAGAACACAGCTTTGCAGCAGCAACCGGCTGCATCATGAAGTTCCAGCCTACTTGCAGCAGGCCGCCCTGGCCACACGTGTCATAGCGGCTCCGTCTGAGCCGCCGCAGCCTTCGCCGTCTGTGGCTCCGGATCCTGTCCCTCCGTCTGCCCCTGCGGCTGCGGGGGGCTCTGGGCTTTCCGAGCCTGTGTTTCCGCGCATGCCAGCACGCAGTCCCACTGTGCCTCCGCCTCCGGAGCCTGCTGACCTCCGTCCGGGAGTCCGCCTCCGTCCGCGACATCCTCGCCGGCATGGCGCTCCCAGACGCTACCCCAACGGCGTACTCTGTGACCGTCCGTGTGACAATCCGGCCTGCATTGCCAACTGTCCGCGGGAAGACGATCCTCTGAGAGGCACCCGTCACCGTCACCATGCCTGTGACGCCTGTCACGCGCTGGGGTGGTAGAAATCGGGGACTGCTTGCATCCGTCTGCCTGCAAGGGTATTTGCACTTATTTTCTTACTATCTGTGCAGGTCTGCTACCTATTCTATTCTGACTTCTGTCCGGTAGCCATTTCTTGACTCAGACTTCTTTAGCTGCGCCTTTGAAGCTAGCTCTTCACTGTAAGCCTCAGGTCACCATGTCACATCGCTTGGATGACCCGTCTGCACTGGCCTCCCTGCCCCAACAGGCTCCGCCTGAGGTCAAGACCCGCCCTCCTCCGGCTTTACCGCCCTAGGCCTGTTGGGTCATGCCCTCCCATCTGCTGATAAGGAGGACTCCTTTATCATAACTGTTTTGGGTTTAGACCCCAATAACCCCGCGCTCCTGCACTCTGCCGCAGCTGCCTGTCTGCGTCGTCTTTTGACTACAGCTCAGGACCTCTGCCCGGCTGCACCGGCAGCCTCTCCGTCCTCGGCCTTGCCGACCGCGTCTGCGCCCGCCTGCACAAGTTTAAACTGTCTCCTACAGAAGTGCAAGCACTCCGTCAGAAGTTCCAATCCAGCTACCTGGGGGAGCTTCTCACTCCCGAAGCTAGCCAGCCCCGGAGTTCCTGTCCGCCCTGCAGCACACCTTTACTTCCGGAGCATCTACCTGGCTGCCTTGGCGATCCCGTTGCACCGAGTCTGATGCCATATCGTGGCACGACTCTCGCCGTCCGCGATCCGACCGGCAACTGCTCCGTACGCTCCTCGAAGCCGAGGAGGAAGCGCCTGGCCCCACGGCCTTCGTCCCTCAGTCTGGTCCGATTGAACCGACCGTCAGAAGGGCTCTGTCTGTCTTCGCTACAGCACTCGCAATGCTAGATAAAGTTCACTTGCTCGTGATCAAAAGGTTTAACGACAAGTTTCTGTCGTTTGCCCATGGCCGTGCCGTCCGACGGCTCCCTTCGAGGCCCGTCCCTTCAGGAAATCCTGTCTGCGGACCGGGCCGTCTGGCAGGCGGTCCACGCCCTTATGCGTGATCACTCGTGGTCCCTCTCCGACAGTCTCAATGAAGTTGCCGTCCGCCCTGCAGCCCCGTCCCCGTGCTGTGCATGTCCCTAACCCGCGTGCTGCGCCTGCGGATCCGTCCGTGGCGCCCCCGCCTGCTCGGGGAACCCCCGCCGTAAGCGCACAAAGTCCGGCCGTGGTGCAGCCCCCAGCCGTCCGAAGGCCAAGGCGAAATCGACCGCCTCGTCCGCCGGGGCTAATCAGGTGCCAGCTGCGAAGGCATTCGACAAATCTTGGCACAAGAAGGTCAATGGGGTCGAAACGTGCATGAGGGGGGCACTCGGGCGGTGTCCCTAACTGTCCGCGGTCCCACCTCTGTCCGGTGGATTGGCCTAAACCGGCAAACCCTGTGCGCAGAAGCGCACGGCGCTCGAGCATCTGTCCACCAAACATTGACTCGATGTCGATTCTGCCTCTGTCCGTTCGCAGTCTGTGCAGTCAGTCTCATCCGACGAGGCGCCTGAACCTCGGCAGCTGCCACCACACTCTTCAACTGCTGGACCTGGGCTTTCCGTCCGTGAGATGCCGGCCACGTCTTTCCCGGCACCAGCTGCAGGACCCGTGCTCGCTCCTCAGCCAGCGACGCCGGTTCCCGTGCCTCAAGGTGTGTCCTTGCCTGCATCTCCTGCCAAGCATAACCTGCACTCATCTTGTCATCCGTCCACCAAGCTATCCACCTTCGGGGGGGCCGTCGGTTGCAGGCCACTCTGGAGTCACCAGGCTCTAGTTTCCGTCCGCTCCCTTCGTCCGCTGCAATCTCTGCCCTTGGTCTGGCCCGTCTGGAGCCCTTGGACAAGCTCCACGGGTGTTGCTTTGACCTCCTTGATGACGGCCAGTTCCGTCAGCTCTGCCGTCGGTCTCGCGGGGTACCCCCCAAAAGGCGGAGCTAGAGGTGCCTGCTGGAAGGGTTGACGGGCCAGATAAATGCAGGCGGCAGCAGGTGATGCCACGCAGTAAGCAGAATGGGCTCTGCTAGGGCAGACAAGACAGAAAGTGCTGGATGCAGGACGCAATGCTCTCAGCAAGGGGCTGAGGGTAGCAGGCAGTCTGACGGGTAGCAAAAGAGCCATCAGAGTTGCGTTTGCCCGCAAAAGACGGATGAAAGCCCGGAGGGTGCGGACAGTGGCAACCAAGCGGAGATAGCACATCATAGTTGCACCAAAAAGCCCAGGCCTTTGGCAGTGGCATGCCGAATTGGCAGGCAGCAACGTGCGTACAGAACGGAGCATGCATGGACAGCCAGGCACGGACGGAGGGGTGCAGCCACAGAATGCTGGAGGCGGGGTTCTCTAGGATGATGAGACCCCCATGCGCTGCAACGAGGGCTAGGAAATGCCTGGCACGGCTGTGAAGGGTGGATGACACGGACAGCTCGCGCTTTGGCCGGGTGTGGGTGATGGGATGCCGGTAGGATGAGCGACAGCGCGGACAGGACTGGGACCTCCAGGTTGCAAGCGAGCCCGAGAGTACGGCGCGCGCGCCAGACAAGGCAAGCACTCCTCCGTCCCCTGCGAGCGCTCTGGCTCAAGCGCCTGGAGACACCTGGACTCCTGTCCGGCATCCTCTCGCGCAACATGGTCTCACCTAGCAAGGATCCGCCCATATCCCCGGCTGTGCTCAGCCTATTTGAGTCTGACTTGCGTGCTTTTCTTCACGTCAAGTCTGATGACGTCTGGGAAAAGCTCCTGTCCGTGGATTCGGGTCAACCTTTCCGCCTTAACCTGTGGCATTGTCTTTCCGTCATTTGCTGTGATCCCGATATGGATTTCTTCCGCCTGCTGCATGAGGGCGTCCCCCTTGGCATCGGCTCGCCTATCCC